CTTAGATACGACACGGTCTGCATAGAAAATGACTCGTCCGACAGTTCCATTGTTGGATGTATTCGTTGCCTCAAGATGTTTTTACAGAGCCGTTGCTTAGCAACGGTAGGGAACGTACACGTACAGACTTGAAATGGCCTCAGGTGCCATGATATACATACCCGAGCTTCAAGATTGGTTCAGGCATTCAGAAGTTAATAGGGAAGGAATTAAAATACACACAGACCGCAAGGCGATATTATAAGCATACTTTTATTTTTGCAGGATGCCGAAAGTAGGCTAATAAAAACGTAGACGTGCAGTGTTGGTTATTGAGGCTCTTATCGTGATGACTAGGAAGACTGTCTCCTGGGATGTGAGGAGCGTACCGCGTGCCGTATGCTTGCTTCTGCGTTACGGAGTCTGCACAGTAAGGAGTAAACCAAACGTTACGTGTACGGAGGTCATCGGCACATAATTGGGAGCTCTGCGTTCTTTGTACGAAGTACATCAACTGAAGGCATAACAGGGAGGACTTCTAGTTTTCTGAATTCCTCAGCGGATTACTCATCATCCTTTCCATTAGTAGGTGTTTGGAAACCTGGTACGGATATTAAGAAACAAGAGTCTTTCCATACTTGTTTTTCCTATTGGTTGACGTTTTAGGGTTTTTTCTTTTTTCACTCCCGTCAGAGCTTGTCCAGTCAACGCGCTTTTTCCTATTTCTGTGAATTCTGTTGTTTGTGGAATTCGTTCTAGCAGTAGGTTGTTCGGTGATAAGGTGACTGATGAATATGGAGCGATGGGTGGGATGAGATTGGCAGGGGAAATTAAAGTACTCAGGTAAATCCTGCGCCAGTGCCAACTTTTTTTTTCCCCCTGAAGGATAGGGTGCATGCCGCAGTCCAAATGAAACGATTTGCTGATGATTTTAGTGAGGCGGTTTAGCCGAGTGAGAAGAGAGCGACTGAGTACGAGCCGGATGGATTAGAATTTTTCATTTTTCCACGCTCAATCGAGACCGCGTCTCCGAACAGCCCCCACCCCCACCCCCATCCTTCAGGGGTAAAGTTACCGGATTCTGAACTTAACCCCCTTCAGGTAGGATTGAAGTATGGGATGCGTGGAGCCTTTCGTTCATGGTGTGGGGGGTAGATGTAGGGAAGTGGGTGAGCTCAGTTACTGTAGTGACTTGATTACGAGCCAGAGGAGCGGGATTCGATCCTTGGCACCGTGCATTGTGTTTTGAAAGGGTAGCATCTTTCTCCATGTTCTCTAGACTCCGGTTCCCAATTTCGGCTCCGAGACCGGGCTCTTCTGGCTGAAGTTCCTCGTGCTTTTCGTCCATGTCTCCAGATATATGTTGGGATAGTACCGTACATGATGTCAGAACCGCTAGCGTGGTTGGTTGAGGCACTATAGCCCTGGAATCGACTCAGCCTCTAACAGAAATGAGTACCAGGAATCTTCCTGGGGGGTAAAGGACTGCCGGCGCGTAAGGCTGACAACCTCACTGCCGATTGTCTAGACAATATGGGCGCCTGGACGTCTCAAAACCCTATGGGCCTTCATGGCATGTTACAAGGATAGCTTTACCTTACCTTTACTCCTGGCTTCCATATCGCTTCCAGTTCATTAGTCATTAATCATCCCCCCCCCCATTCGATGCCGTATAGTCTGAGCTACTGACAGCGCCGTTAAACAAACCAGAAGTAAATAAATTGCAAGCAGTGGCATGCTTGCTGTTCGTCACAATGCCCAGGAGAGCCGGGTTGGCTCGGTGTAATGTCTAGGCTACTTGCTAGACTATCGGGCGTTCGAGGTTTAATTCTCGGCAAAGGGCCCTATTTTTCTGTTCTCAACTTCCTGAAGCTGATACTTTCGTATAGTGCCAAGGTTAAGAATGCGTGGAGTTATACCCAACACCGCCATACGTCTTCATGGCATAAATCACAGGAACAATCTTAGCTTTGGCGTTACATCATGTGTAGCTCAGTGGCCCACCTCGCCTCGTGTCCAGTGAGTAATGCGGTGGTCTTTCTAAGAGGGTGAAGCATGAAACCGCCATCTTACCCATGGGCGCCGCTAGATTTCTTTCCAAAACGTAGCCAGGAAGCGTCCTTACAGACTTTATGTTTACAGCGTTTAAGATTGTTCTTACTGGTCACCCTATAGTGTTCATGAGGGAAGAGTACATTTTTAGAAAATAATTTTAATTCTGTAAGATTTGAGGCTTTCACGGCGGTGACTATGAAGAAAACAGTCTGCTTTACCGTTTCTCACGGTGTTGTCGCTTGCAGATTTCTTATACTTTTTCTTCTACCCTGAAGATGGGGGCGATACGTTCCTCCGAAACGTCGGTTAACACCACATATACACGGTGCCAAATCCCAGAAGACTGCTTTCTTCAATTTTAATTCTTTTCTAAGAGTATAGCTTCTTGCATAAATATGCAGTAGAAGCCCATCAAGTATAACCAGTTTAATGGGAAGAAGTAAAAGTTATTGGCTGTCATCCGAAGGCATCGCCAACACTAAGAAGAAAGTATTTCTGCGTGTGTTTGTAGTCCCTTTATAACACTGGCCACGCCTTCTGATGATGGCCAGTAATGGCCGAAACCTGTAAAGGCAGAACTTCTACGTCTGTTAGCCAGTTTCACCTGATGGACTTCTATTCTACTACTCATTTATGTATTAAGGGGCGTGACGCTTTGAGATGCCGCTTATAAATAAGTGCTACTTACTTTTTCAATTCTGATTTTTTATATGAATTCAAGTGGGATGAGTGATTTGCCTCTCCTTTTTAAAGGGGGATTATGTTATGACGCTGTCAGTTGTTAGACTTTACGGTGACGAGAGGTAAGACGATTTTTGAATGAGGATTTGGAAGAAAAAAGTCGTGGTGTAGTCGAGGTTGTATCCCGGCAGTTGCCTGGGGTGGGGGTGGGGGCTAAGGAAAACTATGAAAAACCTCAGGCGGGGTAGTCGGTGACCCGTCCGAGGTTCGAACCGAATTCGAGTCTAGAGCCCACGGAATTA